TCTCTCTCTCTCTATCTATCTATCTATCTATCTATCTATCTATCTATATATCTATCTTTGACTAAGACAATGTCTATGAAAGTTGGTGCCGTAGAGTTCATACACTCCTCCACACTACTGCTGATGTGCAGTCGTACATGATCGTACAAAAGGTGAAAATCCAGTTCGACATAATTTTGAAAAAAAAAAACCCTAACATCCGGCATATGACGAAAAAAAACGATATGAGCACTCGAATGAGCGCATGATCTACTCTATTGCCATATCCGTCAACAGTGCTAAGCTACAACTTTTGTACAACAAAATGTCCGGAAGTGCTACCGCGGCGGAAGTGAATAAGGTCGTTGCTTAGACCGTTGGCTCAACGGAGTACACTCTTCGCAATGTTGAAGTTGGTGGTTAACTTGATTTTTTTGAATTTGCGGTTGACCCCCGTTGTTTCTTCGTTCTCTACGATGACTGTTGAGATAGAAGCAGTGATGACAGTCCTCCGAGCAATGAATTCTAACATTGCATCCCGTGCATGAATACAATATTGTTTAACGTGCTGCTTGTACGCTCGCACCATCGAGTCTCCTGCATCACTCCGCGGGATCTTTTGTCTCCATGTCTTCGTTGCACATATTGTAAGCTCTTTGTGGTATTGGACAACAACACATGCAATGGTGGCGCTGCATTTCTCTGTCACCGGGGCAGTCACAAGGCCGTAACCGTAGAATACCTCCTTGTATCTTGCGTTCCCTTCCTTCTTGTAATTATTATTATTCTGACGGTTGCACACCCCGACGAGGTTGTAAATCTTTCTTCTTGCGCTTAGAGGATACAAGTGCAGTGACGATTCGTAATATGCAAAATCCTAGGTGACAAGTCCGATGGCGTTACACTGTCTCCTCAGCCGGTCTGATATCAGTTCCCCCCATTTGATTGGCGTTCCCCACCAATCTTGTCTTAACTGCCTCTGCATCCATTCCGGATCCATACTGCACGGATCAATACGAAAAAGATAAAGAGAGAAAAAAAAAAAGAAACACATACATCAAAAGTACAGATGAACGTCGGTCAATGCGGATAAGCACGCAAGACGGATTGCAGGTTGTTCCGTTTGCCACTTTCGCGCCGATGAATATGATCGATGATATTTAACTTTGTGACGGTGTTAGTTTTTTTAAGTTTTTTTGTTTTACCCTCTTCGTTGCGGCATGTTATCACGGTCGTCGCCACGTGAATGGCGACCCTCGACCTTTCGTTGATGACACGCAACATTGCATCTTTGATTTCGTTGAATAGACATCTGAGAAGCTTCAGCGTCGCCCTCCTGTAGTTGCTGTTTTCGAACGTCGACGGCACCTTCGTTCGTTCAATCCGTGTTGCGCACTGTGTCAGACCACCGCCTGAGCAGAACGCCACGCACGTTACCGATCCATGATGCTCACCCCCCCTGCCCCACATGTGAACAAACCCTAATCCGTAGAACACTTCGGTCCATTTGTCGGAGTCGTGGCTTCCGAAGTTCGCATCCGACACTATCGTCTTGGCGAGCTTGTAAACTCCATCTTGCATCTTGTCGTACCACAGCTCAATCGAGGACCAAGATGCGCACCAATCGGTGCAGTCTATACCGACAGCTCTCATTTGCGTTTTTGTTTTCCATGAGATGAGTTTCTGCCAGCGCACAGGTGTCCTCCATTTTTCGTTGCGCTTCCGGTCCGACGATTCAAACATTCTAAACACAATAAATGAAGGAGAAAAACGCAATCCAATGGAGCAATTAGCGATGTGAACTAATCTGTTCGTGTTCAAAAGATGATATCCATTACGCATGTCACACGTCACGACTACACAGATGTGTCTGAAGCAGATCCCATATCGTGCGTTGATGAAGGCGTCTTGTCAGGAACAGTCAACGACAACTGTGCATTCAGAGCTTCTCGTTTCGGGATCCGCATACCCGTTTCTGAACGTTCATTGCTGGACCATGCCCACACAACGACGTCGAGGTCTTGCCACCCGTCGTTTGTTTTAGTTTCGACCTTCCATGATTTTTCCCGTGCGCCCACATACAGCTTTGTCAAATCATGCTCCCTTCCGCAAGGAGTCCAGTACTTGACACGGATGCGATTATCGTCCCGCTCCTGAACTCGTCCAATCCAGAATGTGCATCCCTTTGCAACATACTCGTCGGGCGCGCGGAACACAACGAAGTTGTTCACGGCGACAGACTCGTGCGGTTTGAACTCCGGCTTGGGAGCGTCTTTTTTGTAACTGACGATGCAAGGTTTCCTCGGTGGCGAGTCGGGAAGATTCGGCGCACGTAACGAGAGATCTTGTTTATCAGGCATGGGGGCAGGCCAGAAGGCACCTTGAAGGGGCACCGTGCCGCTCTCCTCTTGCGATATGTTTTCAAACTTCTTGAGATGGTCGGTCCAATAGCTCAAGCGTCTACGTTTCATTGCTCTTGTGTGTTCGTCTTGTGTCACCCATTGGTTTTGTGTATTCTCCCACGATTTATGAAGAACACGTACCCCCGCCATCCCGTTAACGAAATCGCCTGCCAGTGGATTAGGCGACTAACGGCAAGGTTGGAAATCCCACTGAGGCCCTGCTTACCCGTTGTTTGCGTCCCTTACAAACCAATACACAGGGCCAGTGTCCGGCTCCCATTTTTTGTCAGTGCAGAACTCCTTGTACAGCATGGCGGGGTTGTCCCCATCCATGTAAAATCGGAAGAGGTGTGGCGTGGCATGACCCTTAATTTTATGGTCGATGTATGGATCTATGGCGGTTTTCCAGTCAACAATTTCAGTGAGCAATGTGCAATCGACTTCCCCTTCGCAGGACGCTTTGAGGACATCGAAGAGCTCATCCATGGTATACGCATTGCAACCGCTCAACTTTTTAGCAAACAAGTTGAACTTTGCATCTATGTCTGTGTGTGTGTGACCCACTATCTTGAACCCCATTTCGACGACCTCGAATATACGAAATTTGACTAGCATGGCCATGAAGGCGAACACATACTTGTTTTTGTTTTGTCCCCCACAGTTGTCGGCCTGCACCCGCAACTTCGGCGGGAGCGCCCTCTCGCGTGCCTGAACATCTCTCGACACTTTGGCGATCGAGGTGACGACCGAGTTTGAGCCGTGCGAAAGGTATGGAAACCAAGTGTGGACAATGAGCGATGGTGTCCTACCGTGCGCGGTTATCCCAGTAAGATTTGTCTTCATCATCGTGTTATTCGACATTTCTTTTGACAAACGTCTTCTCGATGCATGGGGTATCGTTGTTTTCGCTTGATCCATTCCATCGATGATGATACACAGACTCTCTTTCGGCCTGAGCTTTGAATCAGCGGACCACACACTGTACTGTTTCCGGTGTGCCGACTGTAGCGCAAGATGACTTTTCTGTTCTGCGACAAGCGCCCTCCTCGGCTCGGGCAGAGCACCCTCTATGAGGATGCTATTCTTAATGCACTCGTTGCATCTCGCGTGGTCGGTCACCCTTGCGAGACGAACGTGCAAGAAGAAGTCCCTCCACATCTTGCAGAAGACCTGGTACGACGCGCAACAGACTCCAAGCTTAGATAGTCGTCTAGGAATACTGACGAAGACGTCTTTCTTTGTGGCGAACACCGACGGGAGCCAAATGCGGTTTCTGATCTCGAAGTTTGGGCCTGTCTCAGTCTGATCTGGCATGGGATCAAACTCGTCCAAGATGATGTCCTCGAACGCAGACCATGTAATGGCGTAGGTCGCCGTTGTCCGCGGACGACCTTCATGGCCATGAACAGCTTCGACTGTTCCGTCATCGAGGTCATCGATGTATCTTTTGTATGTGTTCCTACCGACGCTGAGTATGAGACACCATGCAGTGACGCAGACAGGGTGCAACTGCACTATCGGTTTGACTGTGGGCTTACGGTCAACTAACGAAATAAAATTCTGTAGTTTCGTCATCCACCACTTCCGTCTTTCCTGCCCTCTGAGAACACGGTAGTCACGTCTATATTTCATAACGTCCTGCACTCTAAGTTTAGAAAGACAGCGAAACGTCTTGCAACATGTTTTGCGGCGGACGGCCTCGCACTCGTCGACGCTACATCTACGTTCGAAAGTGGAGCTGGATGTTGAAGAACTTCTTTTTCTGAGTCTATATATGTATTTTCTCTTTCCTTTTTCATCGCACAACATAAACAAGGCAAATATCGTGGTGTCTTCTCCGACAGGCAAGTCGACGTCCGACGAACGAGCAGCACGACCCACCCCCCCTTCACTGCCTTCACACGATGACAACGAAAGCATGTCGACTGGGACATAACGATCGTCAGTGCGAGTTGCCGGTGGCGAATGTCCTCGAAGCGAAAGATCAGGAGACCCACACGCCGGTCCTGCGCCGTCATCAGAAGGCAAGACGTCGACGTCATTGATGATGTCGTCAAGACGAAGACGCTGCACGACGTTGACATTGGCAGATGGCACAGCCCGGTCTCTGAATTGGCGCCCGGGCATACGAGCAACACGATGTGCACGATGGCCATGTTTCGATGGTGTGACGACAATGTCTGGGGACCGGCTCTCGCAGGAGTTCTCAGGAGTATCGGGCGCGGGGGTGTGAAAAGACTGCACAGATGGAAGCGAACTGTAGCAACATATGTCCATCTCGCCCGCCATCGAATCGCTAACATAGATGGGAACGGCCTGTAAGAGGACACAACAGAACAAAAAAATCGAGAACAGAAAGACACATGAGAAGGGAAGCCGGTCCCCCCCTCACTACCCATCTCAGGAAGTCTAGACCATCTACCGATTCAGAGGGACCTGTGGACCAAGAACGCCAGAACGCGCCAACGGGAGAGGGGGAGAGAGAGTGAGAGAGAGAGCGAGAGAGAGTGTGTGTGTGTGTGTGTGTGTGTGTGTGTGAGAGAGAGAGAGAGAGAGAGAGAGAGAGAGAGAGAGAGAGAGAGAGAGAGAG